TACTCATGCCGCGTCTTGCGCTTTCATGCGAGCCGCAAACCGAGGCCTCGATTTTCTCGTCCGACTTGCGACAATATTGCTTTGACGACCATGATAAAGGCAAAGGAAGAACTCACCTTACTCATATGGACATAGCCTGCTGACACAGCGATGACTGCTGCATTCAGCTTCACATCCAGCGCGTGCCCCTGCACAAGAGCGGTCATGGCCTTGCTGTGCGCTGTCTCGAGAAAACGCACATTACCCTTGCTGGCCTCGAAGTTCTTGAGGGCCATTTGCGCCTCTTCCAGGGGAGCGTTCTGTGCATGACGGGCGCAGGCGACAGAGAAGTCAACCAGGGATACAAGCTTGCGAACTTCGTGATATTGGTGTTCAAATACTTCCACGGCACAGTCGTGTGACCTGCATGCCCCGCCCCGAGGAAATGAGTCACNCAGCATGCCACAAAAAAAGCACACGAGGGGCTCATTTTGGCCGCCCCACGGGGAACGTAAGCCGAACACGCGGATCGAGTAAGGAAACATCATTCTTCGTTGTGTCTATATCGTCGGCGTCATTCGTACAAACCACCTGTCCATGTAATCGAGCGGAGAAGAAACCGGCAGGTTCCGCCAACCGACTGGTGTGTGTCAGATTGCTAGTGAAAGCTGCCTCCTTCATCAGGTCACAACCAACGACATGAAAACAGGCCAGTACCGCGAAATATGACCCGAGTGAATCACCGCCCCATGGTAATGGAGTACCTACCCTCATTAATTCGATGCCCTGTCGAGCGGCTTCCAAGCCAGCCGTGAAACTTGCGAAGAACACCATGTTTTCGGCACGGCAGTCTTCAACGCTCTCACGCACGCTCGCCAAGTCACGCTTGACCTCGCGGACGTCCGCATGAATTCCCGTGGCTTCCGCCATGACCGCCGTGCCAATGGCGCCTAGACCAGAACGGTGGTCCCTGCCCAAGGTTGCCAGACCGCGTTGAGTCTGTGGCGCGAAAAGGAGGTAGAAAATACAGGAGCGCAAAGGGCCGGGTTAGGGCTGAAGTGCTAAGGTGGATCACAACACCTTCCTTTTCGCGCTTCCATTCGGGTCGCTCCATGAAGGCGGCACCGCATTCAAACAATCATGTTCCGTCGGGACCGACAATCGTTTCGATTCTCAACAGAATGGTATTTCTACATGCAACGCGAAAGAGTGTAGGATATCGAGAGCACACCCAGTAAACAGAAGTGTATATTTCCTGTTCATCGGCGGTTACGAGATCCGCCGCAAAGCAAGCGTCGAGTTTATCCAGCGCACAATAAGCCATGTGTGCATTTTTCACTTGAGAAACATAAAATACGCGAGGAACAACAGCCAACGGCGAGCTGTCGGCCAACGTTTGCCCGGGTATTGCCGGGAAAACCACATGGTACACGCTACACGGTGCGGTCGCTTGTGTCAGGAGAGAAGCAGTCCTCAAGTTTCCCGGGCATGGAAAATAGTTCCCCCTCGCTCATCGCTGAAGCCGTGTCCCTTGTGCCAATGGCCTTCACCAAAACAATCTCGGGAAAAGGCACCAAACCAGTCATCCTGGCCTGGACCACAACCTTCAACACAGCAGGTTCTTCCCATTTTATGCCTGCGCACACGAACAGCCCTGTGTGCATCGACTCCTTCGAACTCGGAAATTGCACTATCTCCTGTTGCGTGTGCATGTCTACCGGTACTTTGGGAATCCTACAAGAACCTCGGCAAGCACGACGTCATCGTTCGGAGGGTGGAAAAGAGAAATTCCTTCTCGTGCGAAACTCAATCGTCAAAGTAGGCCCGAACTTGTGTATTCCTCATTCATCCCTGGTCGCTATCGCGAACGCTGGGGATCCATCCTGCCGCTGTTACCCTACAGGCGTGTCGCCGACTCTTTGCAACCGTCGATCTGCTCCAACAAAACCCATGCACCCACGGCTGCGTCAGCCTCGTCTACGATGTATAAATGCGCCCTTCAAGTCGATGGTCCTTTGGTAACAAGTCATTACCACGCGGTAGACGTACAAGTGGCTGGTTTTTGGGGAAGTCGCCCGACTGACCTGCCCCAGAAACACCCCAAACCACAACTACATCAAGCGCAGACCAAATCGTTAATCAACGCGCCGCCTACTTTCGCTGGAGGGGAATCCTGCGGACGAAAATCCGGATGCCGCATCGCAGTGACGTCGTCCTCATTGGGCCGAGGTCATGATCGCTGTCAAGCTGTGCCAAGGGTCAGAGGTAGTTCCTGCTTTCCATGGCTAACACGACATCCTTTCACGTTTGTTGTCATTGGGAGGTTGGTAGCGTGCGATTTCTATTTTCTCCAGTTATGCTTGTTGGCCATCAGATGAGCGCAATTTCTACTGTAATAGTCTTCTCTCATTCTTCAAAATCTGAGGCCCAACTTCGCACGAGGTTTATTGTTGTGAGCGGGTCGGTCCCGTGTCAAAAATCAAGTAACGATTCCGAAAACGGTCCAGAAAACCCCGGAAAACGTGAGGAAAGAACACCAGCAACGAACGTTCCCAGAGAAACACCTCGATTTGAACAAGCACATCAATGTCAACACCTGTTTCCGAGCATCTCCAAATGCCGGGTACAAATCTTCCAGCTCGAGACATTCTATGATGCTCAAATCACAACGGGCAACGCGATTTTTCACATGCAGAGGAAGAGACAACTTCAGGGAAAGTACACAGAGGACAAGAACAAGAAACATCAGGGCTCCAAAAACACTGTTGTACATAGGACTAGATGGACAGAGTCAACGAGACAGAGGAACCGGCGTGCGTGCAAACTTGCGATGGCGTGGATGTGAGCCACAAAGCTCCCGCTGCACTACCATCCCCGTGATCTGCCGTGTTTCCTTTCACGGCCCTGAGACGAGCATACAGATAATACTGACACTTATCGGATTGCCGACGGGCTCTCCGAGAGTCTCAAGTTGATCAATATTGAACGTGCGTGGAGGGTGGTCACGTCCGCCTGGTCATCAATCGTGGAGAACCCAAGCACAAACACTATTCCGCCGTACACAGCATGGATGTGCCGGGATAGGTTCATACAGTTACTACGACCTGTGATTAGCACCACTAACTCTTCGCTCAGCTTCCACGCGTGAGCACATGGATAAGCCCGTCGTTTGGGATGTCAATCCCAGTTCAATTTCCTTGTCGTTGTCGGTCTACATTGCAGATGTTTCGACAGATGTACAGTACGGGGCCGGACACAACAAACGTCAAAATCGGGTCGAGGCTAAATCCCTTACTTTGGGTCGAGGCACCAGCCGAAGTCATCCATTTTCCCAAAAGGCATTTCTTATTCCTTTTGACTGTCGCATCCTCCTGATTCTCTTATTTCTTCCCATTTTCTTATTTTTGGCTAAATACATTTTGATTCATGCAGCATTGGTCAAGCAGCCCGCGGAGGGCGCGGGGTAGCTAGCGCGGAGGCGGAGGGGGGGCGCGACAAAAAAAACAAAACATTGTTGTTCAGCTAGGTACGGAGGGGTGGGAGCACGGAAGGAGCAGCAGTGGGGCGTTTCTTATAAACGCTCCTCCAGCAACCCTTATGTTTCTTATGTAATGGGGGTATCGCACGATCGTGGTTCTTTGTTGGGACTTTTCACGTGTTGTGGCCGAGATTAAGCTGTGTTTCCTAGTCCTTTTTTCTGATTTTTTCGAAAAAATGGTGACCCTTTTTTTCTTAACAGAATCTTGATTGCGGCCCCGTACTGTATGCAAGGTACAAGGTTCCCTGCGGGAGTTGGCTGGCATGACTCCTGGGGGCGACGCAAGAGGACATGGCCAATGTAATCACCCTTGCATCGATGCATCTCAACCTTCGCGGTGCCGGTATTTCCGTACAACCTGCAGAAAATACGTCATGTGCGGGGTGTCTTTGTTGTTCTCACCGTCACTTTTCGCGTGTTCGTGCGCTTTGAAGCTAGCGGCGTCTTCACCCCAGACCTACTGTTGCAACCCGTTGCATTTGATGGCTCGCTCCTGTGCATTTATACCGTGTAGCTCATTGGTCGATGAAAACGTGGGCGCGTTGCGCAGGAATCAAAATCTTCCGCGAAGGCGTGTTTGGTTCGGCGAGCCTCCCCGCGAAATGGAGCCAGTGGTGGCTGCCGATTGCCCGTGCCAGGGACGCCTGGCGGTCCCCGGGCACGCGCGGTAGTGTACCGACGAGCCTCTTGTGTGCCCCTGAGAAGGAGCCATTCGAAATCATCGCTCCCGCGTGCATCCGAACCCCACGTGGTCCCTTGTTTCTGCCCGGTGGTCGGGCTCGGCTCGCATGATTGTGAAAACGACCACGGATCCTTTTCTCTGCCCATACTACATCGGGAGCTGGAATAGTTTTTTGTTGAAAGACAAACCTGCAGTAGGCTCGTGCGTTGCTACCATTGGCCCATTTACTACACAGCAGCATTACAACATATTGATTGAGGTGTGGGGGGCGCCAATCGATGTGATGGACCCCGAAAAAACAAAAAGTCTTGGAAAAAGAAGACACCTCCACACGGACTCGAACCGGGGGGGGAGGGAGGTGTACTCCGGGGGGGAGGGAGGGGTGTGGTATATTAAAAAATAGGGCTAGCAGTAAAAAAATGTCTCTGCTGTTGTGCTCCGCTTGTTGGTTCGAGCTTTGATCGAGAAATCTCAAAACCGTTCAAGCTTGTGATGGGTAACCAGGCTAGCACGGGAGGCACTGGTCGTACACTAGGCCTTCGCGCACAAAAGTGTAGAGAGGCGTACAGCAGTACATGCCGCACCAATGGTGGTGCGTAGCAGCGTCTGTGTGTTGTTGGTGTCATGTGCCCCTCTCCGCGGAAAGAGAGAGAGGCCGCCGCCGCTGCTGCTGCTGCTGCTGCTGCTGCAACCAAATGTTGATCTCTCCTCTCGCTTCCTCCGCCGATAGCTAACAGCAGCAGTGTATGGCACACCCTTCTCCCACAGTCTCGCCCTCGCTGTGGTCTGTGTCTCCCTCTCCCTGTTTGTCCATGTCTGGCTCTGTGTGTGAGTGGTGTGTGGTGTGCGAGGCTATCTGTCTTGGTTCAAAATCAAACGACGCCGCCTCTCGGTGTTGGGCCAGAAACTTCCCTGCTTCAAGTTGGGTACCGACGCTGCACTATGTCAACGGACCGAGCACGGATTGAAATGGCAGCAGTTGGGGCAGCTCGGGCAAAGTATTACTTGTTGTGAACACGTCTTAGATTGCAATTTGGTGCCGAGATGGTGAAGTGGGCTGGAATCTGCTGGGTAATATCGAGGCTGGTCACAGACAGACAGACTTACTTGAGCCCGTTTTGCCCTCCCCCTCTAAACAGCTTTTTTTTTTGAAAAACACAAAGCGTCCCTATTGGACCACTTCCCTTCAAAAAATAGTACCAAAATCATTCCATGGGACTCGATCGAGCCGAAAATCGTGAAAAACTGACAGCGAGAGACTGCTGGAGATATAGAATTGAGCCGCTTTTTCCCAACTTTCGCAAGACCTCACACCCTGGGTAGCTGGTACCTGGTGCTCTCCTGTCGGGAAAGCGCTGAGCCCAAGACCAAAGGGGTGGGTATGTTGGCCCCTCATGCCACTCAACGCACACGATTCTATCAAGAGTCTGTTCGTGAGGTGGATTATGCCATCCTTACGAAGGCTACTGCGGTTTTTATTTATTTTTTGCTCCCATCATTGGACTCTGTCGTCTGCCCCTCTGGCCCCTATCCTCCACTTCTGCTAGCTAGACGACCCAACCGGGCTCACATAGGAGGGGTAGTACTCATGTGTGGTTTTGAGCTTTGTCAGTGCGCAAGTACGAGGCCGTCCATCGGTCATGTGGATCTTCGGGTTTTCTCCGGTAGTGGTATCTTGGCAAGTTGTCACGCGTTCCGTGCTGTCATGTGTTCCGAGTTCCGAATGTGTCTTGCGACTGCTGTTGCTTGCCTCGGTGTTTGTGATGCACCCTGGTGCCCACTTTCTTCCGCTGCTTGTGTCTACAAGGACGACCAATAAAAGACTTTACCATCTCTTCACATTGTCAACCGCGACAGCCGTGCTTGTCCAGCAGCACTCGGCTTGGGGCCAATCAACAGAGTCTCGGTGTTGTCACGTG